GCCATGAGACTTAGACCTGAGTGCAAAAATGGAGGCTCTAGACCCTTCCAGAGCTGAGATATCGAAACTCAAAATTTCGACCCGAAAAAAAAAAACGACAGTGGTACCCCTTACGTTTTTTTTTTTTTCGGGCGAAAAAATTAAGTTTCTCCAATCTTCCTCAAAACTCTGGATTCTGATAGAGGGCCATGAGACTTAAACCTGAGTGCAAAAATGGAGGCTCTAGACCCCTTCCAGAGCTGAGATATCGAAACTCAAAAATTCGACCAAAAAAAAAACGACAGTGGTACCCCTACGTTTTTTTTTTTTTTTTCGCGATAAATTAAGTTTCTCCAATCTTCTCAAAACTCTGGATTCTGATAAAGGGCCATGAGACTTAAACCTGAGTGCAAAAATGGAGGCTCTAGACCCTTCCAGAGCTGAGATATCGAAACTCAAAAATTCGACCCAAAAAAAAACGACAGTGGTACCCTTTCGTTTTTTTTTTTCGGGCGAAAAATTAAGTTTCTCCAATCTTCTCAAAACTCTGGATTCTGATAGAGGGCCATGAGACTTAGACCTGAGTGCAAAAATGGAGGCTCTAGACCCTTCCAGAGCTGAGATATCGAAACTCAAATTTCGGCCCGAAAAAAAAAACGACAGTGGTACCCCTTACGTTTTTTTTTTTTCGGGCGAAAAATTAAGTTTCTCCAATCTTCTCAAAACTCTGGATTCTGATAGAGGGCCATGAGACTTAAACCTGAGTGCAAAATGGAGGCTCTAGACCCTTCCAGAGCTGAGATATCGAAACTCAAAAATTTGACCCGAAAAAAAAACCGACAGTGGTACCTTTCGTTTTTTTTTTCAGGCGAAAAATTAAGTTTCTCCAATCTTCTCAAAACTCTGGATTCTGATAGAGGGCCATGAGACTTAAACCTGAGTGCAAAAATGGAGGCTCTAGACCCTTCCAGAGCTGAGATATCGAAACTCAAAAATTCGACCCCAAAAAAAAACGACAGTGGTACCCCTTTCGTTTTTTTTTTTTTTTTTTCGGCGAAAATTAAGTTTCTCCAATCTTCTCAAAACTCTGGATTCTGATAGAGGGCCATGAGACTTAAACCTGAGTGCAAAAATGGAGGCTCTAGACCCTTCCAGAGCTGAGATATCGAAACTCAAAATTTCAACCCGAAAAAAAAATGACAGTGGTACCCCTTTCGTTTTGTTTTTTTTCGGGCGAAAAATTAAGTTTCTCCAATCTTCTCAAAACTCTGGATTCTGATAGAGGTCAGTGAGACTTAAACCTGAGTGCAAAAATGGAGGCTCTAGACCCTTCCAGAGCTGAGATATCGAAACTCAAAAATTCAACCCGAAAAAAAAACGACAGTGGTACCCCTTTCGTGTTTTTTTTTTTGGGCGAAAAATTAAGTTTCTCCAATCTTCTCAAAACTCTGGATTCTGATAGAGGGCCATGAGACTTAAACATTAGTGCAAAAATGGAGGCTCTAGACCCTTCCATAGCTGAGATATCGAAACTCAAAAGTTCGACCCAAAAAAAAACGACAGTGGTACCCCTTACGTTTTTTTTTTCGTGCGAAAAATTAAGTTTCTCCAGTCTTCTCAAAACTCTGGATTCTGATAGAGGGCCATAAGACTTAGACCTGAGTGCAAAAATGGAGGCTCTAGACCCTTCCAGAGCTGAGATATCGAAACTCAAAATTTCGACCCGAAAAAAAAACGAAAGTGGTACCCCTTTCGTTTTTTGTTTTTTTTTGGGCGAAAAATTAAGTTTCTCCAATCTTCTCAAAACTCTGGATTCTGATAGAGGGCCATGAGACTTAAACCTGAGTGCAAAAATGGAGGCTCTAGACCCTTCCAGAGCTGAGATATCGAAACTCAAAATTTCAACCCGAAAAAAAAAAACGACAGTGGTACCCCTTTCGTTTTGTTTTTTTTCGGGCGAAAAATGAAGTTTCTCCAATCTTCTCAAAACTCTGGATTCTGATAGAGGGCCATGAGACTTAAACCTGAGTGCAAAAATGGAGGCTCTAGAGTAGACCCTTCCAGAGCTGAGATATCGAAACTCAAAATTTCGACCCGAAAAAAAAACGACAGTGGTACCCCTTTCGTTTTTTTTTTTTTTTTTTTGGGCGAAAAATTAAGTTTCTCCAATCTTCTCAAAACTCTGGATTCTGATAGAGGGCCATGAGACTTAAACCTGAGTGCAAAAATGGAGGCTCTAGAGACCCTTCCTTATTATAAATAATAGACTATTTCTCAGTGATCGTCAATAAAACAAAATCCCATTTTTCTCGGTTTAATGAAAACCAATAGGTCGTGATGGTAAGTTTCAGTTTAAGTGTAAGTTTCACGTTTGAGGGGGTTTAAACCGTGACATTTACACGTTTTGAAAAGTGGACCAACGTGATTATTTCACGTCTTGTCGTGATACCGGGTTGAAGAAATGTTGTTTTGGCCACTTTGTTTGATATAATCACAACAATTTAACGTAAGCAAGAATGGGATTTCAACTCAGATCTTCTTGATTAAAGCCCAACGCTTATATAGATATTGAGATATTTACAATGCATAAATGCTACGGGGGTCTCAATATCTCAGCTCTTGAAGGGTCTAGAGACTCCATTTTTGCACTCAGAATGCAGAGTTTCAAGAAGATCAGAGAAACTCAAAATTTCAACCCCCCAAAAAAAACGACAGTGGTCCCCCTATCTTTTTTTATTCGGTGCAAAAAAATAAGTTTCTCCAATCTTCTCAAAACTCTGGATTCTGGATTACTCCATTTTTGCACTCAGGTCTATTTTTCATGCATATGCAGCATAGATATAGCACAGCTGTGTGTATATCTATGCTACATATGTCTATGCACTAATGACGCTTGAACCTGGGGGCGCCAAGTCCGGAGAATTCCAGTGCCTTTTTAAATTCAATGACATTATTTTTTATAAGTTGAATCAACCTTAATGAATTAAGTTGACCCAACGAAGTAGCCTACATTAAACTGGAACAACATCATTTTATAATGCTGAAATAAAGCAAATTAATTATGTGAAAATCCTTTCCATGATTTTTTTATGTTGATTCAAAGAGTTATTTTTTGAGTGAAGTTAAAGGTTTAGTTCACCTCAAAATTAAAAGTCTGTCAGTAAATTCACTGTAACAACACAAGGGTGAGCAATTACTGACAGAATTAATCCTCCAGCAAAGTACAGTTCTCATCCAGTAGTGTCAGTGCAATCAAATTTATGATATTGACAATTATTGTTGAGTATTAGGTGCATTATAATATGGCATAATGTATGAATTTCCGGGGTCATTTTTTCCGTGTAACAATGATCTCTTATGGTTTTTCCTCTCCATTTTTGTCAAAGATGGAGTTTGGGTTCCTTGCCACCATCATAGTCTACACATGTCTTCGGAAACTCCTTTTCCTCGATTTACTAAAGCATAGATGTAAAACGCATTAGCAGCTGCACAGCTGTGTATATATCTATGCTGCATATCTATGCACTAATGACGCTGGAACCTGGGGGCGCCAAGTCCAGAGAATTCGGGGACTTGGCACCCCCAGGTTCCAGCGTCATTAGTGCATAGATATGCAGCATAGATATAGCACAGCTGTGTATATTACTATCAGCATTACCTAGCTACTTCCTATGACAAGACCCCTGTTCCAAGATGGCGGCGGTTTTGACGCATGCTTAGAACCTCAAAGTGACGTCTAGTGTTTATATCTATGGAAGTACTGTTGCTGTGAGTGCTGATGCCCCCTTGTTTTTTACTGGGATTGTCTTTATCAACATCATGCACTATGCACAGTGGCAAAACTTTACTTTAGGAATGTCTTTGTAAATCTCCTATGCAGCAGTTAGGGAGAACACACAGACAGCGGGGAGTTTAACATTTTGGGTTCCCTAAAAAAATCTGAAAACTTTATTTTTGTGACTGGAAGTGAAATACCATTTGTGGAAAATATGCTTCCCTTTCAAATATACAACAACAACAACGGTGTATAATACGTCACCGTTTGTTTGGCCCGAGATAAAATTAGCCGTAACTGGCCAAACTTTGATTGGATGGTGTTTGATTGTGTTTTAAATGTAATTGTAAACAATGTCCTCTACAGCTAGATGTCCTTTTTTTGGAACCTTTTTTTTACACTATTAAGAGAGTACGGTTATTATGTCTATGGTTATTACTACCTGAAAAATGGCCAAATAAAATAAGAGATGTACAAGATTCTACATAATGTCTATCCAAGCAACTCTCAGATTGCAATTCTTTTGCAAAGTTGAGGAAAAAATAAATTTTACCATTGCAATCAGGTTAAATCTTTTTGGGAGGACTTAAGTGTTATCTTAGTCCTTTTATAAAATATTATTTAAACTTTCCATTGAAAGTTTCTTTTCTTTATTTTCTAGAAGTTTCTGATCTTGTTGTTAATTTCTTTGTTGCATTGTATTTTTTTTTTATTCACAAAAAACACATTTCTCAAGACTTTAAGGGAGTAGTTCACTTTTGAAAAAACGTTTGCTGATAACTTACTCACCCCCACGTCATCCAAGATGTCCATGTCTTTCTTTCTTCAGTTGAAAAGAAATTAAGGTTTTTGATGAAAACATTCCAGGATTTTCTCCATAAATAAATGGACTTCAATGGCAACCAAACGGTTCAAGGTCCAAAAGATAGTTTCAGTGCAAACTGCACACTGTTCAAAGGGCTTTAAACGATTTCAGACGATGAATAAGGGTCTTATCAAGCGAAACTACTCCTTTAATGTCTTTATTTCTGATATTTCCCTTATTATAAAATCTCTTAAACTCAATAACAATAAGAACAAGAGTCTGAATTATGATAATATTTTTCTTACTGGTTGAGGTGTCACTGTCATTTGTCTATTTTTTCTCTTTCTCTCTATTTCCTTTTCATTTTGTTATTGTATTCAATGCAGTACGGTTTCTTGTTTTGCAATAAAAAAAATAGCCATTAACGACAGAACAAAAAAAGAAAATAAAGAAACATTTATTCTTGTAAATAAACAAAATGCCTTTAGATTTTTTTTATCTTTATGTGATAAAATGGATCAAAAGGCTGGTAGTATATCTCCGGTAAATGTCCAAAGACAGTAAACGAGGACACAACATCAATAGTGTTAAATTATGGCCAAATGAAAAATGTATTACCGGAACAAAACAATGTAATACAAACAATTATAGAAAACATTTCAACACTTTCAAATTTGGCCATTTCAAATAGTTGAAGGTCTCACTTTGTGTGCAGTACATGAACAAACTGTTCACACATTTCAAGTTTATTTTATAAAGCTGTAAGTTTTATGAAACAACTGTCAAATATTAATCCAAGGGTGTGGTTGAACAGCATTGCTGACCTGCATGCAAGCTGATTCAATTCTCTCATTGAACATTAAGCCACAAGGCTGAACAAATAAAGTAATATCATTTCACTAAGTGCTTTTTAAAAAACCTTTTTGTGAACACAGAATGACTTTTATAAACATCTCTATTTGAAGGTCTCATTCAACATCAAAAATGTCATTCAAAAGCAATGCTAATACTAACTGACAAGTCTCAAATTTCCTTTCTATTGAAGTGTTCATTAATAAAGCAAATAATAAAAAATATATGCCACAAACATAAAAACAGCATATAACAAAAAGGGACAAGCATCAAAAGAAAAATATGTATAATGCTTGTTGACATTTCTAAAACTAACAATCAATATTTCTTATCTCATCTATCATTTATTTAGTTTCTTTAAATAGACCATATTGCTCTGAAAAGGTTTTTAATAAAGAACGATTTGATTACAGTAAACATCTAATAGTTCATTAATCAGAATTAAGATTATACATTTTATCACAAAATTGTCTTTACATTAGCAGCGTGTTATTCAAACGACTTCACTGATTGTAAGGACCGGATCCAAGTATACAACGTGGAGGGAGAGGTACCGTGCAACAAGCAATTCAAAAATAGAAAAAAATAGCAAAGAAATAAGACAATAGACAAAAGAAATCCTCCCAGAGGAGACAGGCTAGTTAAGATGATGTTAAGATGATGAACCTTCCTGTGAGGTGGCTGAAATATAAAAGTATAAGCAATGAGATATTTTGAATCGGACTTTAAAAACATATATAGCTGGTAGTTATAAAACATATTTTAGCTGAACCAACCTGTCAGATCTCTAAATTTTCTTTTTGCTTCAGCTCTTTCCTCTGAATCAAAGTACCACACAGTGATTGCATACCTGTGACACAAAACAGACACCTCAGCATGATGCGGAAAACATCTTGACGTCGTTCTTCAGCATGAAAACGAACACGTGCACTGACCTTGTAGCATACGACGGCTGAACTTCATGAGGGTTCCTACGATCTGACCAGAAAAGCAGAAGTCGATCAAACAAAGGCTCGATGTCGGCTACGTAAGATTTCCCTTCAGGAAAGATCCGTAGCAATCCGCCATGCTCCTAAGAACAAGCAGTGACATTTGATTAATTATCATCATCGACGTACAAGAAATATTTTGAAGATGACTGTGTTTTAAAAAAGCATGACTGTGTACCTTGGCATTCCAGTTTTTATTCAGGTAGTAAATACAGGTGACACAGCGGCCATCTGCATTAGGGTTATCTACATGTTTCACGTATCCGGCTCCGTTTCCTGGATAACAAGCCACCATTGCCTGAAAAAGATGACAGATCAAACTAAGCTTGATAGATAGTCGTACATTACAACTTATCAATTAACAATTAACAATTAATTAGGCTATCATATTTATGCATTTCTCCTCTTAAACAACCAGAGACCAGAATTTGTAGTTTGTAAATAAAGTTAACAAATCAAGTCAAGTCAAGTATATTTATAGCACTTTTCATAATATAGATTGCCTCAAAGCAACTTCACAGTATCAATCAAAACATAATAATAATTTTTGTTTTTTAGTGGAAAAATATCCTCGTTTGGTAGAGCTGATCAATGGTATTATTGATTGGTTAATTAATTTGAATATCCCCAACTGAGAAAGCCAAAGGCAACTGTGGCAAGGAACCAAAAAACGCCATAAAGTGACCTAATGTTGTCCTAAAACTCCATCAGGTGAGCCAATGGAGAGAGAAAAAAAAAAAGCCTTGGGAGAACCCAGGCTCAGTCAGGGGCCAGTTCTCCTCTGCCGTTTATGAACTTGTAACTGTAAGGTAAAAATTAGGGCTGTCAAACGATTAATCGCGATTAATCGCATCCAAAATAAAAGTTTGTGTTTACATAACATATATGGGTGCACTGCGTATAATTATTTTGTATATAGAAATACACACACATGCATGCATATTTAAGAAAAAATATATAATTTATATATAAAATATTTATATTTATATACAATATACATTATACATAAATCTATATACAGTGTATACATGAAAATATTTTTTAAATATATATGAGCATGTGTGTGTATTTATATATATAAAATAATTATACACAGTGCACCCACATATATTATGTAACCACAAACTTTTATTTTGGATGCGATTAATCGCGATTAATCATTTGACAGCCCTAGTAAAAATGTCTGATGGCGTTCACATGCGCGTTAAGTATTGATTCTTTAGTTATGTGCGTTTGAATATATGTGTGCAGGTTTGTAATTCCCTAAAAAACATGCCTGAACAAACTACTTGTCTTGTCTATAAATTTGATACCAAATTATTCAATATTTTTGAGAGGTGAACTAAAGGCACCCATACACTACAAAAACCCAGGCAGGCACCCATACACTACTAAAACCCAGGCAGGCACCCATACACTACTAAAACCCAGGCAGGCACCCATACACTACTAAAACCCAGGCACCCATACACTACTAAAGGCACCCATTCACTACAAAAACAAATGTTACAAAGAATGTTATACGATATTTTTGAGAGATGAACTAAAGGCACCCATACACTTCAAGATAATTCTCCCCTTCCGACAAGGTAAAATGCCAATTATCTTGATGGTTCTACAGATTATTTTATCAGATTTTCCTGAGGTGTGAGGAGTGTTACAGTAAAAGTGACTGAATGCCAAATTTGCCAAATTTGGCACAAATGCCAAAGTGACAAATTTATGTAACTGCCCTAATTTTATATAGCACTTTTTATCCCAGTATTTTTTTTACATAAATGTTTATTCTGTTTTAGTTGTCTGTTGCACTTACTCTGAACTGTACAATGCCTTGTATACACTATATATATATACAGTATATATATATATATATATATATATATATACAGTATATATATTATATATATATATACACACTCACCGGCCACTTTATTAGGTACCCCATGCTAGTAACGGGTTGGACCCCCTTTTGCCTTCAGAACTGCCTCAATTCTTCGTGGCATAGATTCAACAAGGTGCTGGAAGCATTCCTCAGGGAGTTTGGTCCATATTGACATGATGGCATCACACAGTTGCCGCAGATTTGTCGGCTGCACATCCATGATGCGAATCTCCCGTTCCACCACATCCCAAAGATGCTCTATTGGATTGAGATCTGGTGACTGTGGAGGCCATTTGAGTACAGCGAACTCATTGTCATGTTCAAGAAACCAGTCTGAGATGATTCCAGCTTTATGACATGGCGCATTATCCTGCTGAAAGTAGCCATCAGAAGTTGGGTACATTGTGGTCATAAAGGGATGGACATGGTCAGCAACAATACTCAGGTAGGCTGTGGCGTTGCAACGATGCTCAATTGGTACCAAGGGGCCCAAAGAGTGCCAAGAAAATATTCCCCACACCATGACACCACCACCACCAGCCTGAACCGTTGATACAAGGCAGGATGGATCCATGCTTTCATGTTGTAGACGCCAAATTCTGACCCTACCATCCGAATGTCGCAGCAGAAATCGAGACTCATCAGACCAGGCAACGTTTTTCCAATCTTCTATTGTCCAATTTCGATGAGCTTGTGCAAATTGTAGCCTCAGTTTCCTGTTCTTAGCTGAAAGGAGTGGCACCCGGTGTGGTCTTCTGCTGCTGTCGCCCATCTGCCTCAAAGTTCGACGTACTGTGCGTTCAGAGATGCTCTTCTGCCCACCTTGGTTGTAACGGGTGGTTATTTGAGTCACTGTTGCCCTTCTATCAGCTCGAACCAGTCTGGCCATTCTCCTCTGACCTCTGGCATCAACAAGGCATTTCCGCCCACAGAACTGCCGCTCACTGGATGTTTTTTTATTTTTCGGACCATTCTCTGTAAACCCTAGAGATGGTTGTGCGTGAAAATCCCAGTAGATTAGCAGTTTCTGAAATACTCAGACCAGCCCTTCTGGCACCAACAATCATGCCACGTTCAAAGTCACTCAAATCACCTTTCTTCCCCATACTGATGCTCGGTTTGAACTGCAGGAGATTGTCTTGACCATGTCTACATGCCTAAATGCACTGAGTTGCCGCCATGTGATTGGCTGCTTAGAAATTAAGTGTTAACGAGCAGTTGGACAGGTGTACCTAATAAAGTGGCCGGTGAGTGTATATATATGCATGTATTGTACTTATTACAATATTGTACTTGTCTGTGATTAAACTAAATAAATAAAAAAATGTAAAATTCCAAACATTATTATCGCCATGTCTTCTTGTCCGTCCTCCACCATGTTTGTTCACTCTAAAGTCACATATGACCGTGAGAGATTTCGCGAGATTTACTGTGTCCACAGTCGGAACAAAACAAAAAAAGGAACAAAACTATTTCTGAATATTAGCCTATAAGATTTAAAAAAATCTTGGTTACACTTTATGTTAAGGTGTCATTGTTAATTGTACTGAGTAATATTACTTAAAAACATGTACTTAGGGTTTGGGTAGGATTAGGATTTGATTGAGGTTTACTGATATTACTACACTGTAAAAAAATATTTTCATGATTTAAAAGCAACATTTTTTCTTTTGTTAAATCAACTTAAATAATTTATGTAGTTCAGATAACATAATATATTGAGTTTCTGATTATTAAATCAATCTCCTTCATTGTATTAACTCAATTTTTCAATTTCAATGAACATTTTAAGGCAACCAGGTTACTTAATTTAAGTTAAACCAACATTATTTTAAGTACATGTAACATATACGCTTTTAAAAACATTTGTTGGTTTAACTTTGGTAAGTAACCTGGTTGCTTTAATTTTTCGATTTCAATGAACTTAAAATTTTGAGTTAATACAATGGAGATTAATTGAATCACTAGAAACTCAGAATATTATGTTATCTGAACTACATAAATTATCTAAGTTGATTTGACAAAAGAAAAAAAATGTTTTGATTACAAATCATGAAAATATTTTTTTACAGTGTAACAATGACAAAGTAAAATAAAGTGTTACCAAAATCTTTTAATGTAAAAGCTGATGCTTTAATGTATCTATAAAATATATCCAAAACAAAGCATCAGCTCCATCTTGGAATAATTATGAATGCAGTCTAGACAAGTCTAATATTAAATATACTATCAGTGTAAAAAAAAACAAAGCACTTCATTTATCCTCTCAGCAGATCCTGGTTAGCCCTCACAAATACACACACAATGGGGACAACAGTCACCGGTGCCCATGTTTACATTTCTGCAGACAAGACTTTATCATGATCACGTTCCCACAATAATAGTGCACACGCAAGTTTAACGTCATAGCATAATATAAACATGTAGCAGCACAGAGAGCAGCAGGAAGTGTGTGCGTGCACCAGTGTGTGTGTGTGTGTGTGTGTGTGTGTGTGTGTGTGCGTGTGTACAGCGAGGGTAAAGAGAGCAAGCTTGGCCAGCAGCCAGTGCGCTGAGGGTTTAATGACAGTGCTACGTGTTGAGCGTGAGTCCACAGCACTACACACACTTCAGCTGCGTACACAATCCAGAGCTCTGATTCAGCCCACAGGCGCAGTCAAAATGAAACCATATCAAAACACCCACTTGACAAATATTAATACTCTATTTCTTCTTGCTAACGGAGAATGATTGCACTAACCCTGTTTATCCATGTCATTCTTTCTTCAGTCGAAAAGAAATTAAGGTTTTTGATGAAATCATTCCAGGATTTTCTCCATATAATGGACTTCAATGGGAACCAAACAGTTCAAGGTCCAAAAGGCAGTTGAAGTGCAAACTGTTCAAAGGGCTTTAAACGATTCCAGACGATGAATAAGGATCTTATCAAGCGAAACGATCGCTCATTTAAAGTTTAAGTTTTATAAGCACAAATGCTCGCCTTGCTCTGTTCTGTGATTCGTTCATTTTGATGAACAAGTTCGAACAGGAGAGTCACGAACGCGCATCACAGAACAGAGCAAGGCGAGCATTTGAGCTTATAAAACTTAAACTTTTTTATTTATTTTTGAAATGACCGAACGTTTCGCTCGATAAGACCCTTATTCATCATCTGGAATCGTTTAAAGCCCTTTGAAGCTGCACTGAAACTGTCTTTTGGACCTTGAACCGTTTGGTTCCCAGTGAAGTCCATTATATGGAGAAAAATGCTGGAATGTTTTCATCAAAAACCTTAATTTCTTTTCGACTGAAGAAAGAATGACATGGACATCTTGGATGACATGGGGGTGAGTAAATTATCAGCAAAAGTTTTTTTAAAAGTGAACTACTCCTTTAATTATAGTAAAAGCATTAATCAACATTAATAAGACCTTATTGCAAAGGGTTACACTCTAAAAATTGCTGGGTTGTTTGTTTTAACCCAACTTCGGGTCAAATATAGACAAACCCAGCCATTGGGTTAAATTTTTTAATTATATTTTTAACCCAATGTTTGGTTTTGTCCATATTTGACCCAAAGTTGGGTTAACACATTCCAGCATTTTGAGAGCATTTTTAGACACTACCGTTCAAAAAACTGCTCTAAACTGCTTCTTTTCATTATTACTGTCAAGGCTGTCTTTTTTATGTATTAGCCTATGTATTGTAGGGGTGTAACATATTTCGTGTCACAATATATCACAATACAAAAAGGCTACAATTTGTATTGTGGATGGTGACAATATGTATTGCCTATATTAAAATTACTGTGCGAGAAAAAAAATCAAGTTTACATAGTTTTAGTGTCAGTATTAAACTATATATAATGTTGAATATAATGTATAATAATAAAATGTGGAAATATTTGTGGGTTCAGATAATGCCAAATGTCTTGTTACCGCTCTAAAAAATGTTGGGTTGTTTCAACCCAAATTTGAGTCAAATATGGACAAACCCAAATGTTGGGTTAAAAATGTAATTTAAAGTTGAAGTTGGGTTCAAATTTTAAATTACATTTTTAACCCAACATTTGGGTTTGTCCACATTTGACTCAAATTTGGGTTAAAACAACCCAGCACCGTTTAGCGTGCAGTAAAAAAGTGGCCAGCATTACTTCAAATAGTCACTGAAAGAGTGCAACCATGTTTGTCCCAAAATAATTCTGTATTTTCAGCATCAGAATCATGAATATTTTTATTTTGGTGTCTCTATTGTCCTGTCCATTGGAGTCCAACCCTATTCATTTCCAACCAGAATGAAATACCAAATTTACCATTTTAATCAACAGTATATTTTTTGTAAACCTTTTATCATATGTTTTGGGGTATCACATTAATATCGTATTGTGAATTCAGTATCGCGATAGGTATCGAATCGTTACATGAGGATATCGTTACACCCCTATTATATTGTGATGTCTGTAAGGTTTTGGATTGTTAAATCAGCTGACACACAAAAAAGTGTTTAGGGCAGCAGCACTGAATATTTCTGCTTAATGTTTTCATTCAGCAGACTTACAAAAGAGAAAAAGCAACAAAATATAAATAGAAACTGCAACACTTTTGGGCAAGTAAAACTCTTGTGTCCACAGCTGAAAAGTGTCCCTCAAACATCCTGTTGCTACACTCGGGGCCTCCTGTAGCTCGATGAACACTAGTGAGAGGAGACACGTACGGTTCACAACAGCACAAACTGAAAGCCTATCCTTGCCATTCATCAATGAAGACTGTGAGCCAAAAGCACTCTACTGTAACTGTTCGAAACAAAGAGCCAAACAAAGGCCGAAACTAATGAGTGAGAACCTGCCCAGATGAACAAACTGTTGAAATAATTAAACACTTAAATAATCAACAAGTTGTAATAATCACAATTATGCTTGTGTAGACACTAACGTTCAAAACTTTGGAGTCAGTTTTTTTTAAAGGAATTAATACTTTTATTAATTTTATTTAATTTATATTCATAAGGTGAAAATAAATTATTTGTTATCTTTTTCAAATTAATGCAGTTATGTTTTTAAAAAGAACCCTTTAAATCTATGGTTTCCACACAAATATTTAGTACAAACTTTTTAAATGGTAGTGTATATATAGATTCATTTTACCAGTGGCATTAAATAAGTAGGCCTACTTTATTATTTGAAAAATGAATGCAATCTTAAAGTCATAGCAAACATTCTACTGCTTCATGTAAATTCCTAAACAAGTCTCCAACTATTTGAATGTACATTATAATATGTATATTAATGACCAATTTAATTTTAAGGATTTTTATCTCACTAACAGACAGATGTCAAAGATTAATTAAGAACTCTTTATTTTATATTGCCAACATTGAAGACACCTGATGTTAACAAGCAGAATCACTGAAGGAGAAAAACGTAATTTTATAACAAACCTAAAATAAACACCGATCACCATAATGGTTACTTCAATTTATGTTTTTTTAGTTGTTGTTGTAAGTTTTACTCATTTTAAATGGTTAACTTTTAAGGAATTAATTTGATTAATTATAGCTCAATTCTAATTTGTTAAATTTAATTAATAATATTGCTTGCAATCTGTTGCCACAATTTTGTTTTGATTAGATAAAGCATATTCATTTTTACAGTGTACATGTCCAAACTATCTGACTATAAATAAACAATATATAATTCATATAGGCTAGTTATGCTCAAATGTTGTACAATTTTTACAAGTAAACTGACTTAAAATGTACATGTTAATAATAAAAGTAATGTTGTAGTCTAAATTTAAAAGGTGAATCAAAGTTTCATAACATTTTGAAGATACATTTATAATCTGTAAGTGAATTGTACAAAAAGATTATGAAAATTACTGTGTAATCAATTAACGATATTCTTAAAGCACTAAGAGCAATATAAGGCTTAGCCTACCTTTGACCTTGCACGAATACTTTTGCCGAGGTGACCCACACATAAAGAAATGAGTTTGTCTATGAGTGTTAATAAGAAGTTGACAGCCTCCGTGCCCCTCTCGGTCCCGTTAACCCATGTTGTTTTATCCCCTCTGATGTTTCTCCGGGAAACTCCATTGCTTCGGCCGGCCAGCTGCCCATCGTTGAGAAGCCCACAGCAATGCATGCGTTTGACCTGACCCAGAACCATGTGTCCCGCTATGTCCCCCAGAAAATTATCCACGTAAAAGAATCCTCTGTCCAACAGAGCCGGCACCACTTGCTCGGCTGCCAAAGTCTCCAACTGCGTGTCCAGTGCAAGCTGAAGAAACGGCATTTTATCCTGAGCTTGGTGCATTCAAATTAAAGGAAGTTTTTTTTTTAAAGTGATCTCTAATGGCACATCCTCGTCCTTCAAAAGACGGATAAATAATGGCACATCATGCAGAAGATATGGTCTGTTTGGTGGGCTCTGCACTGCTCTTATGATCGCTCTGTGTGAGGGACGAGCGCGAGACTATGCGAGCGCACCTGAAGCGCATGTGGAACGTGCAGAATGTGTGTCGCGCGCTTGAGTGGGCGGATCGGATGTTCACATGAAACCCCATTCTGTGAGCTTCTGGTCAACAAATGGGGCCGGGACAATACATGTTTCCTACGACACTAGAGATGTCATCCTTCAGGGGGCGCAAGAAGGCTCACAACCCCGAATTAGCCATTCAGCCGCGTACAAATCTCAGGATATTTTTGTCTTATTGGAAACTTTTGTATTCTTTAAAGTGTAATATTTTTAAAATATCAATTTCATAGATTGGAAACTGGCATACATTTAGAAATCTTTCTCTGAAATCGTTATAAAATGAGTTTGATTGAGCCATCCTGAACAAGCTGAGTAAAGGAACGAACACCACGTGATAAGAACGCCTACGTGCTACTTCAGAAGTAGCCTGCCCTACACTGAAACATAATTCACAGATGAACAATGACACAGAGAAATCCATTGATTTGAAAATACGTGATTCTGTGATGATCAATCAATAAGGAAGTAACAACCCACGTTATTAGGCTAATAAATAGAATAGACTAGGCTATATAAAAGTACAAAATTATTGCAGAAACGACTAAATTAGTAAATTTAACATTAAACCACACACATACACACAATTTTTTTCTCTTCCTTGCACTTCACCTGTAGTTTGTTTCATAATCTAGGCTTTCTGATAAATCTGGCACTCTAGGCTATATAGAGTAATATTGTTACTTGTTAGACTCTGTGACAAATAGCTTGTTCGTCGATTTAAAAAAAATGTAAATGTAAATAAAAGCTACTTGAAAAAATAAAATAGAAACAAATATCAGAATAAATAAATTTTAGAAAATAAATGAATGAATGAATAATAAAAAAGATAATTTAAACAGATTTTTTTGTTAAAATACATACAGTATGATGTATTTGATCAGAAGCTGTAAAAAAATATTGTTGGTTTAACTTAAAAAATGAAGTAACCTGGTTGCTTAAAATTTTAAGTTCGTTGAAATGGAAAAATTGAGTTAATACAATGAAGGAGATTTACTCACCAGAAACTCAAAATATTATGTTATCTGAGCCACATAAATTATTCAAGTTGATTTGACAAATGAAATGTTAAGTTTACAAATCATGAAAATACTTTTTTACAGTGTGATTAGTTTATAAATGTATAATGGATATTTTTCTGACAAAAAAACGCACCACTTTGCTTCAGCCTTTATTAACCCTGGAGACGTATGGATTTGCCTACTTTTTTTTTTTTTTTTTTTTTTTCAAAATATTCACTCCCATTATAAAGCTTGGAAGAGCCCGGGTATAATTCTGCACCTATGGCTTGAAGCTTGAGTAAATTATCGGATCATTTTTATTCTTTGGTGAATGAACCCTTAATTGTGTTTTTGAATTGTTCGGCTGATGAAACACTGCAATATATCTTTCTGGTGCCATTGAAACATGGCAATGATCCCTCACATGCACAGCCTCGCATTCACCTGTCATATCGTAGCCTACGTGACAAAGTCCAGGCACATTAAGCCCCGCCCAGTTAAGAACCCAGCCTCACACACACTGAGTCTGAGTGCCATTCTACCGCAATGTTGTATTTCAGTGAGTTGAACCACAGTGTGTCTGTAGGCTAATGCCCAGCAGGGTCAGGCCACACAGGGGACTCGAGACTGAAATAATGTAAATAAGTTTACCATTGCCTTATCTCAACGACCCGTCCTATGATTAGAGTAGGTATCAGTAGGCTACACATCGTAAGATGTTATGAGATCATTTTATGGTCATGACCTGACTGACCGCCATTGAGGAGCCGAACAGCGGCATGTAGGCTACGCGCACAAATCTGCTTTACTCTCACTCTTCAATGATAACAAATCTTATAATGTGTAGCTATAATCTAATATTTTACAAAGTTTACAAGATAGGCCTACACCAGCATCCCATCTGGTCAACTTCCAAAATTTACATTGCAACACTTTTATGATTGTCTTTATGTTGCAAATTAAAGCATGCGACTTTGTGCGTAATGTAGCAAAGTTTAGTTTAAGGCTTGCCAGGTTTGGTTGCTTAAGCAACTCGCGACTCAGGTGTTATAGTGCGGTAAAGTTCACGAGTAACTCACTCACTCACCTTGTGTCTCCCTCTGATTTTGAACTTGTCCAGTCTACCGTCCGCGCACGTGATGAGTTTGTCCATTCGGGTCAGCAGATAGCCAATGTTTAGGCACCTGCTTTCGGTGCCATCGACCCATGCAATCTCGTCCCCTCGAATATCTTTGCTTTTGCCCAGTTTTTGGCTCACTAACTGCCCGTCCTGCATTTGTCCACTCTGGTGAATGCGCCTCACCTCCTGCAGAACGCGCTCTCCGATTCTCACCCCGAGAAAATTATCCACTATACACAAACCGTATGAGTTCATGCATGGGACTATGTATTGCAAGACCAGTTTGTGTGTCTTTATGCGTTTGCGCTCATTAGATTTTGCCCGGTTACTGCGGGGGTTTCTGAGCTCTCTGGGCAGCTCCATGCGTCCACGAGTTTCACCTGGACAACTTTGCTGCTGCCCTTGGCGATCTTTTCGGATCTGTTGTTCATCCGTAAGATTTCCTTGCTTTTCTGCCATTGCATTGAGTCCAGTGCGGCAGAAGCGCAGCGCGCGCACTTGATGTCAGATGAGAGGGGAGAGTCTGAGGAGAGCTACGTGAACACCATCACATGTCTGTCAAAGCCTAATTTAGATCTCACACAAGCCTGGGAGGGAAGAAAAGATGTTCACTGATGAAATACAATTACATCTTTATGTAACCTGCCTATGTCCTCCTGCCTATGGAGTTCCAAAGCTGCCAAAATAATAAATTAATAAATAGGCTATATGGGCCTTAATAAATGTACGAATAGGGGGTGGGGTCATGATGCATTAGTCAATCCTTCCTATAAATTCGTTAGAGTTGATAAGTGTCATTCAGACATTAAAATGCTGTGAATTAACAAAGTATTTCATAATCATTTTAATTATTATTATTATTATTATTATTCAAGATTTTATTATTAATACATTCTATCTGTAAAGTTCATCAGTGATAAAATTTGCTTAGAAATGGGGCATAGGTTATGAAAATAAAGAAGAAACCTTTTAGTTATACTGCACTTTTATTTTAGTATCATTGAGATAATGTTATAGTTTTTATTAGTATTTTGAATTTTTATATTTTCCTTTTTAGTTTTAATTTCAGTTGAATTGTTAGATTTTTTCATTTTTAACTGTTTTTTTAATATATAAACATGTCTATATGTAGTTGTTGTTCATTTTAGTTTTAGGTATTTTAGTACATTATAGTAAAATCAAATGAGAAATGTTGCCTTATTCAGGTTTTACATGTCTATTTCATTTCAGTTAAAAAGTAGCTAATTTTATTTCAAGTAATGAAAATAAGTCAGTTAGTTATTTTATCATCAAATGTCAGCTGAGCTGTGTTTGTATGTTAACTGAAAGTCCATTTTCACTTCCATTTACAGTAATGTTCCTTTTTTTTTTTTTGTCATAGTTTTCACTGTGCAAGGGGCTCTAAAATGCCCCGAAACGCCATAGAACACTGTTGTTACACTGTTGATTTCCTAAAAATAGCCCGGAAATAATTATAGCCATATCACAGATGTGACGTATACTGACTCAAATGATATCTATCTGCTGGCTTTGGTTTCTGCTGCGAGAAAGGTCAGAGGGAACTGACAACTACTATTTCAAATGTTCAGTTCACCTCAGATTTTCTTGGGTAAAGTGGGTTACATGATTAAAGTAAGATAAGATATTCAGTAAGATAAAGCGTACAATCAAGCCTGCACCTCATGGTCTGACTAACAATGTGTTTCCTGATTTGTTTATAATTTTTGGCATTAGTTCTTCTAACCGTAATTGATGGAGTGTTTTTCATTGCTTAAATAACCATAGGAAGCCACATCATGGCCATATTCCAGGATGGCAATGACAAGATTCATCAGTCTCAAACTGTGAAAGAATGAAGAATCATTTTCACACATAAATCGGCACCTCTGAATCCAGACCTTTAATTCAATGAAAGCCTTTGGGATGTACTGGAGGAGACTTTACAGAGTGCTGGACTCTTGCATTCTAGAATAAATGTTATTTCCATCAAGAGGTGCCTCAATTTTAGGTCAATATCTTGCCATCACAATGCTAATAATCACTGCAATTATGATCAAATCATAGACTGCCTATTTCGATCCAAACAAACATTACAACAATTTTTTGACCAGGTAATGTGTTGGGCTGGATAAGTATGTACCAATACTTTGCTAATCAGCAGAAGCGTTGCCTTGCCCAGTTGAGCTTCTTAGAAATGTAACTCTGACAGGACATTGGTGTAGTGCAAACTCCAGATGACCCATGGCGGCGTACGTGAGAACACCCTCATCCTGTAGTTTAAAGTGTAACCAGCTGCTATTTTCATTTGAGCTCATGCGAGTGATATGAATCTGAGAACTGGACATGATATCATTGGTTGCTTTGACTGTAAATTAAATGTATCCATCGATATCTTCCGTTCCACCTGCCTTGTGTGGCAAAAATCAATATTTAAGTATCTAATATTTAACTTAGTGAGGAAAACAAACAAGTATTTGAGAAACATCTGTAATGTGTATTGAAGGTTACCCCAGATATCCATATCTACTCTAAACAATTGATACATTTTATCCCCCTATTGAAATATGGTTTGACGAGCTGAGACACGTACAGTGGGGCCAAAAAGTATTTAATCAGCCACTGATTGTGCAAGTTCTCCTACTTAGAATGATGAGAGAGGTCTGTAATTTTCATCGTAGGTACACTTTAACTATGAGAGACAAAATTAGAAGAAAAAAAATCCAGGAAATCACATTATAGGATTTTTAAAGCTACACTGTGTGATTTTTACCCCATCTAGCGGTGAAAAGGTATATGACCATCCAGTGAATATTAGTTTCTGTTCTCCTCAATTCCGATTTTGTTTTAACTCCTATGGTGGCCAATGTAGTCCAAGATTAACATGGCTTCCAG